CACCTAAATTAACCCCCCAAAACCCCCAACCTCCCCTCCTTTCAAAAAAAAACAAAAACCCCAGCCACTGGAATGCTGACGCGTGGATGCCTTTTGGTCCCGGTTGGAGCCACCAACCGGGACCAAAAGCCCCCTCACTGGGCTCGGCGCACAGGGCCACGTGGAGGCACATTGGTCCCGGTTCTGGTTTGAACCGGGACTAATGGGTGGAGGTATTAGTAACGGCCCATTAGTCCCGGTTCATGAACCGGGACTAAAGGCCCTTATGAACCGGGACTAAGAAAATGACACATGACCAAGTGGTCAGCTTGGTAAGATATCAACAAAAATTTGCAATCAAAGAAAATTAATGAGACATGCATAAAGAACTTTCTGGTGAACCAATCATAACTGATTTTCAGTCGCGGTCCAAAAATAAAAATTATAATTTTTTTCTCACCTCCGTGGCATCGATTTAGCCATCTGATTAAATTTTGTGTGGGGTTTGATCTTCTCATACCTCCTTAACATAATTCAGTTGTGTTCATTCCCTGGACTGGTTTCAATGAGGCAACGGTTTCTTACTACCGAGGGAGTTGACCTAGTGAATCACGAAGGACCACTTAAGGTGGATGAAGGTCGTATCAATCATGTGCCACGTCTCACCACTCTCTTCGATGGTGCTCTCCATGTCATCGGCACCATGGCCGCAAACTCAACCTCTATGCCCACACCCTCCGGTGAACATAGTCTAGTTTTGAACTTTTTTGAAATATCCTAAACTTTTGCCAGCAAGTGGGCATGCCAATGATAGGCGTTCATGCCCGATTTGCACGAATTTTGACACTATATGCATGTTGTGTCGCGTCATGTCATTTATCGTCCATTTTTCATCGAGAGAAACTCCGGAAAATGCAAGAACTGTCCAAAATCCAAACAATTTGGTATGGCTCCTTGAATTAGTCATAAGCTCGTGGAAAAAATGGTGTCATTTGCGATGCCAAAAAATATAATACAGACCCTCCGTTGAACAAGGCCTATTTATAGACATGCATGAAATGACCCTAACTTTTGCCAGCAGGTGAGCACGCCCATGGTAGGCATGCATACCAAGTTTGAATGATTTTCGACACAGCATACAAGTTGTGTCACGTCCGGCTATTTATCGGCCATTTTCATAGAGAAAACTCCAGAAGATGCAAAAAAATGTTAAAAACTCAAACAACTTGGCATGGTGCCTTGATTTAGTCATATAAGCTCATGGAAAAACTTAGAATCATTTGACGATGCCGCAAAAAAGTGCTGTCGTATGGACCCTTCTGGCCTACCCGGACACCCTCCATTGAACATGGTCTACTTTTTAGCATACATCAAATGACCCCAACTTTTCCAGTAGTGGGCATATGCCCATGGTAGGCATCCATGCCAGGTTTGAGTGATTTCTGACACCATATGTAAGCTGCGTCATGTTATGCCATTTATCATCCATTTTTCACCGAGAAAACTCCAGAAAATGCAAAAATGTCAAAAACTCAAACAACTTGGCATGGTACCTTGAAGTTGCCATATATGCCAACTGGTAAAATATGATCATTTCACGATGTCGAAAAAATATGCTCTCGTATGGACCCTTTTGATCTACCCCGAACACCCTCCATTGAATATGACCTATTTTGTACATGCATGAAATAATCCCAACTTTTGCTAGCAGTGGGCATGACCATGGTAGGCGTCCATGCTAGGTTTGAGCAATTTCCGCGTCACGTCTGGCCATTTATCACCAAGAAAACTCCAAAAAATGGAAAAAATATCAAAAGCTCAAACAACTTTGCATGATGCCTTGAATTGGTCATACAACAGGCCAATGAAAAAAAATTGGGGTCATTTGAAGAATGTCAAGAACATGGTCTCAGATGAAGTCTTCTGGCATAACAGAACACCCTACATTGAACATGTTCTCCTTTTAGACATGCATGAAATAACCCTAACTTTTGCCAGCAGGTGGCATGCCCATGATAGGCATCCATGCTTGGTTTGAACGACTTCCAACACTGTGAGCGTCAAACCATCGCGGCTTCGCTGAAGCAAAGCAAGCGACCGACACGACACAGGTCGGCCCACTTCGAACGAGCAACCAATTTTGGGAACCTTTAAGATGATCCCTGATTCTTTTTACTATTTTGTCATCTTTTACAAATTTTTTCCTGTTTTCTTCATGTTTTATTTTTTTTTTTGCTTATTTCTTCCTTTTCTCTTTTTTTACCTTATTATGCTTTTTTCTATTTCTTTTTTTCCATAAATTTAAAGTTTCAAAAAATGTTCAGAATATTAAAAAAATGAATTTCTAAAAATTGAAATTCCAATTTTTTTTCATGTTTTCCAAATTTAATCCGTTTCAGAAAAGTTCAGAATTCCAAATTCCAATAAAAGTTAAAAATTCTATTTTTTTCAAATTGTTCATGTTTTAAAAAAGTTCACCGTGTTGAAGAACTATTTTCAGCGTACATTTTTGTAACATTTTGTTCGGCATACATTTTGTTTGAGGTATAAAAAAAATTTCATCATGCATAGAAATATTGTCCAGCGTGCATTTGAAAATAATTCACGCTATATTTGAAAAAAAATCAGTGTGTATTTTAAATTTGCTTTTTGAAAAAATGTTTAGATTTCGAAATTTGTTCACAATTTAAAAAAATATTCACATTTAAGAAAAACATGATTTGAATAATAATATTCAAATTTCCTTAACTATTTTGAAACATTGTTCGCATTTTCAAAAGGTTTTGTTCACATTTTTTTCATGAAATATTGAACAAGTAAAAAAAACCTGGATCTACTGCTCTAATTAGTACTCCTGAGCTGCTGCCCAGGCATCAGTTGTCAGTTGACCATTTCCTAAGCTTACATTTCACATTTTTTGGACCGTATACCATTCTGGAGAAGACTGAAGTCAAACTTCGTAAAGTTTGACCAAGTTTATAAAAAACAATATAGACATTTATCATAATATATCTATACGATATGAAAGTACATTCAATAATAAATCTAATGTCGTTGATTTGTTATTGTATATCTTAATATTTTTGTTTATAAACTTGGTCAAAGTTTGTAAAGCTTGACTTTGATCAAAGCTAATATGCGAACTAAATAAAAACGAAGAAAGTACTTAAAAGTTGGCGTTGGTCGCTAACTGGGCTGGCTAGCATGGTTAGGTTGGAAGTTCGTTCTCCTTCCACTTCGATGCCTTACCAGCTTCTGAAATTTGCTTTGCGTGGTCCTGATTGCCGATATGTATCATCCCTATCTCCATATATACACTATTTTCGCCGATTCACGTGCATACATGGATATTCCTTTTATAGTCTCAAGTTTCATTCCATCTTTCTTGTTTCAAAATTAACATATTGTCCAATGCTGTATTCTGGGACAACTAGATTAAAGTGTATGATTGTGCCTACAAAAGTTTGAACATCAGTTAACACATAGCTATAATCAGACCCACTACACATACTGAATCTGACAAAAAAAGAAGCATATCCAGGGCAATGTACCCCTCCAGCTCCATACCACCCATTAAGCTCGTATGTAGGAACTAGGAAAGACTAGAGAATGAAATTTTTTTGCACATCTTTTGCGCATGTGAGCCTGTAATTTTTTTCATATGCTCCGGTTGATTTGAAAAAGAATCAAAACTGATTTGAAAATTACAATTCTTTTGCACATGTGAGCCTGTAATTTTCCTTAAAATGTCTACTTTGTGTGCAGCATAAAAAAGAGGGAACAAGCATGCACAGTCTGTTAACTCTGTACAACACACAATAAACAATTAACAAATTATATGTATTCTCTGTTCTACAGTTCTTGAAGGGCAATTGTGCGGGCTGGGGCACACATGAAGCACATCGGTGATTATTCAGAAACACCTCCTGAGCTGCTGCCCAGGCATCAGTTGTCTGTTGACCATTTCCTAAGCTTACATTTCACATTTTTTGGACCGTATACCATTCAGGAGAAGATTGGCCCGGCAGCATGCAAGTTAGACCTCCATATGTCACAACTTAAGCCTCTTGTCCCAGATTTACACCCAGTACACTTCTCTGTCGAGTCCGGTGTTACAGGATTTGGAACCTGAAGAATGCTGGACAGACACCCGGTAAAGAAGGGCAATCGGCAAATTCTAGTGCAATGAAGCAATCTGCCACAGGACAGGAGATGGCGACCTCGGGAGATGATGCGGTGCTGCACAAGCGCAATCCGTCGGCTGCAGCTTGGGAACTAGCTGCGCCTCAAGGGTGAACCAATGTCATGACTGGCTACAGTGCAGCCACACAACAACAGGAAGTTTTTTTTTAGAGGAAAAGAGCACCAGGCTCCGGTTCCATTGCACGACAACAGCGACAACATGAAGTGGGCCCAAGTAATGGAAGAAACTACTTTGAACTCTCCTTCTAACACTCTCACCTGCAGCTTACTCTGTAGCTCTTCTATTCTTACACCGTTCGCGCGAGGTTTGCTCATATCTGCGCAATAGAATTCTGAAACGTGCCTGTGCGATGTCCAGGGCAGCAGCTGACAGCAAGAAAATAGCGACGGTTGTCACCTATTCAAATAACACATTAATCCAGAAGAATAAAAAAACACTATTGCAATGAGTCAGAACAATGTATGAAGAAATAGCAACACTAGAATGCATCAGAAGCACTTCTTCCAGGGGTATAGTATGATATAATTCGAAAATAAACCATGTTTATCAATGGCATATTCAGACTAAGGGCTTTTTTACATCACCCAATTTATTATGTTAAAAGGAAAAAACAGTACATGGGTCCTGCTTGCAAATTCTGGAAGCATAAATTCTACAGGTAAGAGAAAACACATAAAAAGTTTCCGTAAACCGTGATATCACCAAAGCCCGGCTCAACGAGATAGCAAACTTTAGTCTCGTGCTTGAGGGAGCAGAACTACATAAAATCAAGGATACAACCGAAAACCATAAAACGCATATAAATTAACAGAAAAGATCAGTATTCTAATTGATGTGTTGTGCCGCCTGCTCCACCTTCACCTTGTCCCCGACCATCAAGATCACTAAGTCCTGCATGAAGAACACTGTTTTAAATAGCCCGCTATAGCTCCGCTATAGCACGCTATAGCGTTTACAAAAAGTCTTGCGCTAAGAGACTTTGGTCCAAACAAATGAATAAACATTTTAAATAGCGCGCTATAGCTCCGCTATAGCACGCTATAGCATTTGGAAGAGGTCCGCCGCTAAGATGCTTAGCGCGCTATTTAAAACTTTGATGAAGAATGAAATGATTTACAGAAGCATCGACTAACTTTCAGTGATCGATTGGGTGAAATTTGTTTACAGTAGCCATTTAATTTACAAATATTCCATAAAGAGTGCACAATAGCTCCAAACCTAAAGATCGTTGTCCTAGATAATTTTCAAAAAGTTCCAATGTCATATATCAACCAAGGCGATAGGAAGCTCATGATTTCAATGTTTAATGGCCAGTTTATCTTCTACATTAAATCATTCTTTCCAAGAAGCAACTATTAATACTTCCCAAAAAGATATCCCAAACTGTTGTATCTTGCACAGTTTATAGCAAAAATTACTAGTTCAATACGGTCAGGGTTTTTCTAAGGCTTCCATTGAGCTATAAGTGCATTGATTTCCACAGGGCAAAGGTCCTGGTAGTGATGACCGATGGCTGACAGTAAACTTCCTGGGAGACAATGATCTTATCCTGAGGTTTCTGACTAAAGAGACTGCCACCTGAACCAGAACCCTTCGAAGGGACACTCACTCCTGTAGTTTAGCATTCAATCATCATTTTGCAGTACATTCGTTTGCAATAAGTTAGATAGTTAAAAATCAGTACTTCTGAATTAAGGTCAACAGAGCCTTTTGTTCTGACTTTTTGTTCCACCAATTGCTGCTAGGAGTAGGGTTAGCAGATGCTGCAAAACCTGTTGTGGGTGACTACGTATGCATGGACTACAACTGACAGAGCAGTGGCCTAAATAATACAAGTTTCCATTTGGAGTTTTCGAGACCTTTGAGTTAAAATGCAGTTATTATGTTAACTTGTTCGGTTACACAATCCAGCATTTTGTACCAATAAAAGATTAGTTGTTCAGATTTTTGCCAATTTCCAATTATTACATATCTCGTGGATGCCACAATGATCTGTACCATGCCCATACAAATATGAATTTACATAATACAAGTTTCAAACAGCGGCAATAGGAAAGTGAGTGAGCAATATAATATGATCTGCTACGTTATTTTCTGAATAACAATATCAAATACAACAACAATACTTCATCAAGCAGCCAAAGAAATAATAATAATTGATATAAAGGAAATTAAATAGCCAGTCCAACACTTGCCAAACAAAACCATCAGAGAAATACTATATTTTCGTTATAATGCCATGTAAATGCATGTTATTACCTGCAGCAGCAGCAGCAAAGAAACTTTTGAATGGATATGGATAGATAGTGGACAGCCGATTATCAGGGTTGCTTTTAAAGATCTCCTCAAACTGCAATGACTCGAGATGGACCATGAACATGCCCCTAGATGTTGACAGAAATGCCACATTATCAGATTCATCCCCAGCAATAAACATTACTCTTTTGATCCACTCCCCTGATTTCAGAGGGAGAAGCCTGCGCAACTCGATAGTCTGTCCCGGCATCCACCCAGCAACACCGTCAAAATCAGTCGTCCTCTCCCATAGTTGTGCTTTGTAGGATTCCGACATGACGATGAAACCAAGCGTGCCACCGAGAGTACTCAAATAAAGTCCCTGATGGTTGGCGTAGGCATGTGGTGGCACCTCGATCACGGCTAGGCTCTGTCTGTCAAGATTAAGCTCAAGGATATCCACCTGAGGGCCAAAAATGAACCAGCACAGTGAATTCCCAAGCAGGATGCTTCTACTGCCAAGAGAAGGAGACATATCAAATGGAACCAAGGTTGAGATGAGATAGGCCCAGGCTCCCATCTCCGACGAGTAGACACAAGCTCGTGCGACGCCCTTGCTGACGCACGCCAAGACCACCTTGAAGGGGCTCGAATGGCAGGCACCATGCACGTGGCCCTTGTCGCCGGCAGCACAGAGCACATCCGCTTGCACACGGGACTCGCTCCAGTCGTGACCACCCAGCTGCGTTGGAGTGCCTATGCAGCGGCGGTCGCCTGTGACGGGATCCCACACTAGGACCTGGCGGCAGCCCCTGCCGGTACGGGCGCTGCTGGTGAAGAGGACGCGGCTGTGGCGGCAGCTGTGGACGGACCAGATGTCGTCGAGGCGCGGGGAGAAGAGCTCGGGCGGGATGAGGTCCGGCGGATTGAGAGTCGACCTGAAGGGGGTTTCAATGAAGCTGGAGTTGAAGAACACGCCGACGATGGGGGGTTCGCGGTGGTGGGCGCAGAAGCGGCGGAAGAATTGGGGGTCGGCGACGATGCGGCGCCAGCGCTTGCAGACGGAGGAGACGCGGGGGAGTGAGGAAGGTCGCGGGGGGAGCCGCAGGAGTATCTCCATGAGGAGGTCGTCGTCCTCCATCGGCGAATAGGCGGGCGAAATCGACGACCTGCGCGATGACGGCGAGGAGGTCGAAACTGCCTGCGTCGACGCAGCCGCGCCACTCGCCTTCATCTCCGAATTTCTCCGGCAGCGGCGGCGAGGCTGGGCGGCGCGCATCTCGGCGGCGGCGGCACGGGAGGTGCGTCTCCAGTTCACGCAACCGCCGCGATGGGGTACGTATATCTTGGCTGCGCAGAGAGGGCCCCGGCCAGGACTCTTTGGGCCACAACCGCGACTGTTTCGTCTATTGTCTCAAAAAAAAAAAAACAAAGCTGTTTCGTCTAGGGCTCGTGAACGGCGCAGCGACTTTTGGCCTCCTCGCCTTCAGCTGCCATATTGGCGATGCGAGGTGGAGCAACCTCACATCTTCAAGACTGTTATGTTTTTGTTAACGTCTAGTGATTTTCGTATTTATGGAAATAAAAGCACTCTCTTCCTTTTTAACGGTGTCATGAGGTTAGAGAGTTTTTTGTCCTCGCAAATCCGATTATTCGGATCTGATGAGTTTATGCTAGCGTGTCAAGCAATTTTTGTTGGTTTGGTTCTTTGTGGAGCTGAAATCTTTCATCGACAACATGCCGATGATATCATTGTTCGATGACCTGCACTTCTAGGGGATCATGCCCAAATACGTTCATCGATCAAGACTTCCCATCTTCTTGGACGAGCGACTAAAGGCGCTTTCAAAAATCATTATTAGTAACGTTCGTGCGGGTGAAAGAGGGACAACATTGTTGCTGCAGTCCAATTGCAGCCTCTTTACCGAAGTCTTTGGAGAATTTCTTCTAGCAGAGATTAATACCGCGAAGGTGTTTCAAGATTCATTGTAATTGTTGATTATAGGAGTTACATTGCATTTTTCTTGGATCTTAGATCCAAATCAATGTAGCTGTAATTGTTATGAGTATGAATAAAATTACAGGTGTTTCTAAAAAAAGCACAAGCAAAGTGTAGGTCGGTGATCTTGGGAGGTGACAGCCACCATTGGAGAGGGGGGGGGGGGCATGGAGGTCAACTTACAGCATGTATCGTGCATTGAGGTCCCACCATGGCGGTGACGCCCAAGGGCCATGTTTTCTCCATGGAGGTATTGTTGAGGTCATTCCGTCACCCTTGGCCCAGTTTCCGGGAGAAATCCCATATTCCATTGTAGATTGTTCGACGGCGTCAAGTACTCCTTGCTGGCGGCGTTTGGGGAAGATTGGGTTCTCAGGTGAGTGGTGTGGCGTGGAGAATAATGGTTGTAGGGATCCTAGGGTGGTGGTGGCGAGGTTGGCTGGTTCGTCGAGCTCCCGCAATTATTCTAGGGTGTCCTCCAGTTGTGGCCTATGTGGTTGTGTCCCGAAGGTTTGACACCCTTGATCCTATGTGGAAGGAGGTACCCCCCCCCCCTCTCGGTGGTCTTGACTTGCGGAGGCTATGGATGCCGGTGAGTCTTATGCATTTGTTAGATTTGCGCTCCCGTTCTATTTTGGACTTTTGGTATGCCTGCAATTCTACTTGTATTTGATTTGATTTTCCCTTGTAGCTTTTCTCTCTACACTTGGGTGTTCATGGTATGCGGTGGTGCATTTAGTGTGACTTGTCCACGACAAGGCGGCGGAGTTTTCCTTGTTGGTTGAGAGACCAACAATTCTCCTAGCTCTCAGGTGAGTGGCCCTACTTGTCGGTGGTGCGACACTTTTCGAACCAAGGCGATAAGGTAAGGTCCCTCTCTAGGGCTACATAACGATGATGTTGTGTATCTTGATCAAGATGTCTCTTAAACACAATATGACCTTTTTTCTGAACACCAGTTACAACATAGATGCGCACGCACGCACGCAGAAACTTGCACCGCAGACACGCATCACACAGTTTCTATCAACGAGAATGAAGGGATAAATATGTGAGTTGTGGACACCGCCTCCATTCTAAAAGAAAAGTCAAATTTGTTACAGGCCTAGTTTGGCAGCAAAGTATTTTTTAAACTGTGGTAATTGAAAACCAAAGTATTCTCATGGATGGGCAAGGAATACCACAGTTTTTTAATAACAATGTTTTTCTCAGTCTTACATGTGTTTGGCTGGTGCTGTCTTATCAAAGTTTTGACCCAAGTATTTCGAGTGGATGACTGAGTAATTAGCGACTGTTAACGGCGGCTGGCTGCATGCAGCCGCCATGCACCGTCCGACTCGATCTAGCTAGATACTAGGATCTGTAGAATATGACTATCTCTGATGCACCTACATGCACGTCAGCTGATCTAGAATATGTCCATCCTTCGTTCACGCATGGCCTTTGCATGGGCGGCTGACATTGAAAGCTCCAACTAATCCACCTATAGCCGAGGAATCGATGGAGAAGCATGCAAGATCATTGCATACTAATCAGTGCATAGACAAGCTCATACCTTTTTTCCGTGGTGGTGAGCTTGATTCACTCATGATGAAGAGAAGAGATGGAGATGACGCCGGCTGGAAGGACCCGAGAGACCTACTACTCGTAAACAAATCAAACTGAATCGGCTACAACATGGAGATATAATACAGGTCGTTTTACCATATAACAGAAAGAGGGAAAATAAGATGGGATCGTAGTATATATCCTTATCTTGATGTATACGGCAACGTCAACTGCGATCTGCCCGACGTTTTCTCTCCGTTCTGTTTTAAGAAAAGAGGTCGCCAGATACTTCAAAAAGACCATGGTTTCTGGCAAATACTGTGGTTTACAAAACTTCGTTTTTTTCTGAAACCAAACACAGCAAAGTATTCGAAACCGTGTTTTTTTCTTTCAGAAACCGTAGTATTCTCAGAAAACTTTAAAAAAACATTGCTGCCAAACGCAGCCTAAGCGAAGAACGGCGGAAGTCAAGACACGTACAGCCTGAGTTGAATCGATACACCTCTCCGTCGCTACCGCGCTGAGTTGAATCGGATGCCATACTTACGGTGCGCTGAGTCTCCACAGTCCGTACACAAAGCGGCAGCAGAACAGAACCGTAGACCAGCAGAACCCTAGACGCAAGTGCTCGATCGATCTTTCCTGCGCGAACAGCGGCCTGCTGCTCCCCCACGTCGTCCCGCTCACGCTGCGCGGCCTACAGCAACCGCACGAGCCCGCGCTTCTTCGCCCGTCCGGTCGCCTCGACGTAGCAGCCGGCGGTCGACGGCGATCTTGGATTCCTGCCTCACTACGGCAGCGGCTCCAGATGGATCGTCGACCACTGCAACGGCCTCCTGCTCTACCGTGACCGGAGGAGACTCTCCGTTGTCAACCCTTCCACGAGCCGTTGGGAAGACCTTTCCTAGGAGGACGATGACGGCTGCCACGACTCGTGCCTTGTGTTCGACCCTGCCGTGTGTCTGCACTACGAGGTATTCTCGCTCGAGCCCGGGAAGGTGATAGAGAACCCAGCCGAACCCGATTTGATTGAATGCCCACCATCCACATGGACGTTAAATGTATTCTCATCCAGCACACGTTAGTGGCAGAAGAGGTTGTTTGTCCGTGAAGCCGAGGCTACAGAGACTGTGACTAATGTGCAGCTAGATCCAGGCATCCAGCAGAGCGAAGATCAATGTGGTGGAACGGCCGCGGGTGTTGCTTTAGCAATGTGTATTGGCGAGGATCACTCTACCTGCTGCATTGCTGTGGTGTGTTTGATGTGAGGTATATACACTTCATATATAGCACATCTCTGCAAGATCACCTTTTCAACTCATGTAATATTAGTTCTCTATATATGTCACGGACAATTTTCTGATCATATTTTTCGAATGAATGACCATGTTTGCAGGTTATTTTTATCAAACAGGAAATACCGAGTGATGAAAATCCCAATAAATATTGATGAATGCAAACAAGCACGGCCTTACATTGGGAAATCGGAAAAAGGGCTGTACTTTGCATCAATGCATGATAGTTTTCGACTTCAGGTTTGGACACTCATGGAATCAAGTGAACGAGTAGATTGGGTGTCGAAGAACAATATCAATCTTAAGGCATGTGCAACTGTAAAGTCACATGGATCAAACAGTATGGAAGGAACCCTAAAAACTTGGATTTTAGATGATGATGATGACGACGATGATTTAGATGGAAACAATGCAAGGATAATGATAGAAAATCCGGATTGGGACTCGGACGATGATAGCATTGTGAATATTGAAGATGCTTATGAAGGTACCTGCAATGATATCGGCTTTCTCGGGTTTCACCCCTACAAAGAAGTTATTTTCTTGGGGTTAACATCATCCCAAGGAGGAGTAGGAGTGGCTTGTCATTTGAATAGCTCAAAATTTCAGTATCTAGGCATACTAAGCCAACACACTTACTGGCTTGGCATACGAGGATCGATTCCATACACCCCTTGCATTAGTGGACATCTTCTAAAAAGCTTCAGAGAGTAGTGTAAATAATGCATGGTACCCTGG